ACATTTTGACTCGTTCAATTAATTTCGACAAATTCAACTTGAATTCGAGTGACTTTCAAGCTATAATTGCACTTGCTCGGCTCGCGATCGAACCCTCTACGAGAAGGTCTACAGAAAACGGTCGGCACTAATATTGGCCGGACCGCTCGAAATCTTGATGTTTTCGATATATAGTATCATGATTCGACTGAATTGTTATCATTACCTGTGTATCACCGAACACACAGTATAGCACGATTTTTTAATGTGACGCTGATATAGTAGTGAAATTAATATTAGCAATAGACAAAAAGGTCAGTAGCCATGCAGTAATAATACTTATTCAACGAGTTCGTATAATTACACCTACTTACATTACTTATACTTGCACGCACACGCACGCGCACATACACACATACATAAGCTACATAAGCACGTACATGATGATCGTACGATCAACCAACATATGGAAGGAAGTTTTTTAAATTTTATTAAATCACTTTGTTTTTAAGATTTATTGAAAGATAAGGATTATTGAAACGGGATTGGTAATTCGGAACGAAACCGTTTGGGGAAATGACGTCATTTTAAAAGTAGCTTCACAGTACGTTAGTGTAGAATAGCAGAAATAAACATTGTATTCGATTCCTATAAATAGATAGATATGTGTAGTTATTAAATATATATATATATATATATATATATATATACTAGCTAAATATATATATATATATATATATATATATATATATATATATATTTATACATTTAAATTTTACAATTAAAGTGAAGTAAGGTGTGTGGAGTCAAATTATTTTGAATTCTCTCGGAATAATTTGATTTGAAACGCGCGCGTACATACATATGTACAACGTACATACACATGTAACATTGATTTCGGTTGGTTTGATAAGGAAGTTATATAATAAATATATATAAAAAATTTAGAATTCATGTATACAAATAATTACTAAGATTATATGTTTACATAAAAAGAAATAAAACAGTTCCAACCAGCCAATCAATCAGAATGTTTCGAAGTTTGAGTAGCTCTGTTGTCAGGAATGTATATTAATGTATCACATAAAATCTAAAATCAATAACATTGAATCAATAAAATTTTTACAGATGTTAACGATTGAATTGTTTGTAAGCATAATATATAAAAGAAATGAAGTAAAAGAAATACATATTTTCATTTGCCATGGTTATGTGAAAAAGGAGTGATCTCGATTAAATTTGAATTCAACTAACTAAACGTATACACATACTCGAACCTTCCCATCAGGAAGTCCGTAGGCGGTCGTTGAATTCATTCTAGTATAGTTAATATATTGTTGTTAAGCACCTATAATAATGTTTCATATACAATAAATAAAGTTTTTTAATGATGTCAATGATTGAAACGATAAGAATATATGAATGGAACTGGTATAAATAGGAGCCGAAAATGCGTTGAAATCCGACCGGGTGCCTTAGGGCATTCCCTTAGCGCCTGGTCCCTTTTTTTATTTCTTTATTTTATTTTTTAGTTAAGTTATTTATTATTTCTAGACGTATTCGTTACTTATTATTTCTAGATTTGTTCGTTTATTTTATTCGTTACATATTACTTCTAGATTTATTCGTTTATTTTATTCGTTATTATTTCTAGATTTATTCGTTTATTTTATTGTTATTATTATTGCGCGGTCATACATACACCCACACAAACACACACACATACAAACATACATACATATATTCGTTGTTTTGTCTCCTTGATGTTTTATTCTCTTTTCCTTACTTTTTTCTTCGTAATTGTACAAATAGGTAGGATTAATTCGTAAGTTGAGCTAATTGAACATAGGTAGGTGAGTTAATTTAGTGAACATAGGTAAGTTAGGGTCTCTATTCTTACGTTCTAGTCTATTTGTATTGTACTGTTTTGTATTGTTTTTTGTTCAACACAGCACCAACAACAGCAATCAAACACGACAATCAACACATTATTATTTTTGTTATATTTTAGTTAAGTTTAGTTAAGTTGTTTATTATTACTAGACCATTCGTTACATATTATTTCTCGTTACTTATTCGTTACTTATTATTCGTTTATTCTATTCGTTACTTATTATTTCTAGATTTGTTTGTTTATTGCATT